GGGAGGTGCTGCAGGTGCCCAGGCCTGACAGCGTCCGGGCGCTGAGGAGGAGTGCCCCTGGGCAGGGCGCCTGGCACGAGTGGGTGAGGGGGTTGGGGTTGGGGAGAAGGAGGATCAGGCTCAAAGTGTGCCAGGGGCGGGAGCGGGGAGGGGGGCGGTGAGGAGGCGCCGGCCTGTGCCAGCAGGGATCTGCGGCTGATGTATGGCATGTGGGGCTGGAAAGCTGCCATCATAGCCCAGTAGCGGAAGGAAAAACGGAGAGGTCCGGGCGGCGCTGGCCTGAGGCTCAGTGAGTCAGGAGTGACCCTCGGAGGCCTTGCCCGCTCTGCTCCCACGGGCCTGCCGTGCCCAGGCTGGCAGGGTCTGCAGGAGCAGCTGGGCAGACTCCCAGGCTGTGAAGGCCTCCGCTTACAAGTTCTCCTAGGGAATGATCGCCCCCGCCCCCTCCTTCCTCTCCTGGGCTCGCTGCTCTGCTCATCCACACCGCTGGCGCAGACAGAGTTGGACTTTTTCTGCTACTGTTTTCTGCCTTCCATGTGGCTCCGGTTTTTTTCTCCGTCGTGATTGTTTGTCTTTGCTGAGTGGATAGCACAGCCGTCTCTTCACCTCCGGGACTAGCAAGCATACACCTCTTTGACTGTTTCTGAGGGATCTTGTTAGGTCTGTTGATTGTGATGATGATGATGATGAAATAAACTTATTTCTGCTGAATGCTTTTAAGTTCATTCTGACATCTTACTGGCCGGATGTATTGACTGCATCTCCCATCTTCATGATGTTGGGTGCTGCACAGGAATGCAGGTGATTAGAAACACAACGCTGAAATCTGTAGATCTGTGCAGCTGGGAATGGTCTCCCATATCAGAAGTCAAAGGAAATGTCGGTCTAAGAGCTTTTTCTTCTCACCCCTAAATCCAGTCTTTACTTCTCAGTAAGATATTTCAAACTGAATTGTCTCCACTCTGTAGCATTTGGTGTCACCCTGTCTTGTGCTTATTCATATTAGGGTTTCATTTTGCCCCAACTAAGGCTGAATCTGTTGGCATGTGGTATGACTCTCCGACTGTGTGATCACTGAATTATGATAGACGCTCTGGACTCTCATAAAAGTTGGTATGTTTACCAGTTTACCAACTGATTGTGGGTAGTGTAAACAGGCTTTGAAAAGCAAAATATGTGTGACAGCTTATAGTAAGTGTTGCTGGCCTCATCTTTCTACATCAATGCCTATGACTTTTGGAATCTTCCCTCCTCCTTCCCCCTTCAAGTAGCAAATTTTAACTGTCTAGTTGTGGGAGTACAGCTAGGCTCTGTGTTAAACTGTGATCACTTTAATGAGAAGAATCTTGACAGTGCCTTAAGGAGAGGAAAAACTTTGGGAATAACAGTAGTTTATAGCTATGATATTATTCTAAGGAATATTGTTGTCTGCCTTTTAATGTTGGTTTTATGCTTTGAAATGTTTTATGATGACAAGTTGAGACCAGCTAAGAATTTCTAATGTTTTATTCTATTAAATATTTTATCTGAGATCCCTTGGGGAACTGTGGAACTGTATTGTGCAGTGGGAAGTAGATAGTACAAATATTTACTGAACCTTGTCCAAGGACAGTCTCTGTTTTGTTTTTTTGGGAGTTGTTCCTGAATACGTACAGTGCACATCTCTACATAATCCCGTCTGGGCCATTGAGGACCTGATGGCCTTTGTCAGATAAATTCATAGAGTAACGGGCCTCTCTGCGTCCTTGTCCCCCTCCTTCTATCTTCTCCTCCCAACATGATATACCTTTTCAATTATACCTTATTTGTTTTAGTGAGCGCTTAATAGTTTAACAGTCAAATGCAGAGATCATGAAAGATTTACGGGCCAGAAATATAGGTTATGATCATTTCATATTATCAAAATAGTATGTACAGTATAGTTCTCAAAAAGATAAATTTAGTACTGGAATCACTGGTAAAGGAATATCACTCACATATCACAAATTAGCACAAAGCAGGAATGTATATGGCAGTAAACATTTTAAAAGGCAAAAAATATTGCTTTGAATTGATAGTGCATAGACAGTTGTCATTTGGGGGGCATTATATAAGGAGATTAGAAATTAAAGGGCATATTTGTGAGACTTGTGGAATTGGTGATAATATGACAGAAGATTATAAACTGCATTTTTTTATCGTCTACCAGGTGGTTGAAGAAAACATGTACTGGTAATGGTATATTAAGTAAGGAAACAAAATCATCCTAACTAACCACAACACTGTCCTTGTGTTCAGGAGGAAATAACTAACAAATTCATATTCAGTTTTCTATTCTAAAGAAAGCCCTCTGGGCCACAGGGTCATTGGGAACATTTTCTCCTTGGAGCAGATTTGCCCGTTGCAAAATAGGGAAACTGGCACTTAGAAACTGTCATCATGGAGGTTATATTGAGCAACTGAGGTTGCATTGTTACTTTGTTTAGCCAGTTTCAGCTCTGAGCATGTCTGGATTCTGAGAGGTGTGGTTCCTAGGGAGGTCATCTAGAAAGCTTGTGTTCTGGGGTGAGAGGGCAGGATTTGAGGATAAATGTACCATACGGAGGGGTGTACTGTGCTTAAAAGTTGGTGCATGCCTCACGAGCGTCAGTGCAGGGGTCATACTGGCCCTCTTCGAAAAGGTCCTCATAATGGTTAATTTCCACTGTGAAATGTTGACTTGAAGTCTGTGATGGGTTGGGAATGGTAGACAGGGGTGGTGCTAGAATAGCAAGACCTGCTAGAGGGGAATGTTAATGTATCTAATGTGTATCTTTGTCCAAAAATACTGCATCTAGTGGTAAAGAGTTGAGTAAATCTTCCCATTTTTAAGGAAATTGCATACATGGAGGAGGTACTTTCTGTGCCTTCTGTGGAGAGGAGAGGAAAAGGAGTTAGAAAGGCCTTGCAGGAATTAGCAACTTGCAGTTATAAAAGCATTCTGTTCTGCAAATAGTCCTGCATTTTAAAAGATGGTTGCTCATATAATTTGATATAATTACACCCTATCTTGTTGTTTTCTTGTAGACATGCTTTTAAGCTGTTTCCTTATTGACTAGATACAGTAGATAGCATAAAAAAAGATAATTTCTTCCTTTGGGATTTTCTAATTAGCAGTTTTCCAGTGTACAGTGTACTTTGCTGTTAAACATGGAAAGGATGTGTTCCTGGTGGACTTTACATTATTTAGGATAGTTTTAAATTAATTTGGCACCCAAATTCACATATTAAAGAAAGGTGGTTCAGTATAGCAAAAGCTACTGCATATTTTTAAAATGCTGTTTATTTAAAGAATCTTTTCTTCTCCAGCCAGCTGGAAACCCAGCTGTGCTGCAGCCTGAAGATGGGAAAGTGAAACTAGATTAGAAACTGACCAGTCCTAGTGATGAGGACAAGGCTTGGTTATAGATTTAAGGGTTGAATTACCACCATAATATCATTATTTCTTGTAGTGGCTGCTTTCCTCTGCAGACTAAAATTCTTGGGACAGAAACAATATCTTATCTTTGAGGTCTTCTTTCTCCTAGCTCCCCTGCTCCCCAGTGTTTGTTTGGTACTGTGCTTGGTTTATAGAAGGACTCTTCATAAGTGTCTTCTGAATGGATAAAGTCAAGTGAATTTAAAAAAGAAAGCCTCCGGATTAATACTAAAGCAATGTTAACGCTCTGATCTGTGACACCAAATCCTGTGCTGAAAAGCTGAGTTTGATGATAGCCTTTACCTGTCGCTATGGGAACCTTTTTTCTAAAGGAATTATTATCAACTAGAGTACTTATCCACAATGTGCTTAATCATTGTGCTGATTAGTGTTAATGGGATTTGAAACGTAGAGGATAAAGGTTTTCCTGGAGAAGACCCTCTTTTTTTTTGAAGGTAGATTACCGCTCACCTACCCCAGAATTTAAACAAAAATAAAACAACTATCAGTTTGAATTAATGAGTTGAGAGCTAGGAAAGGTGGTATGTTAACAGTTCAGGCGGCTAACTTCCTCTTGGCCTCCAAATCAAAGAAAGTGTACTTCCTTTATTATCTAGGACATTTTAATTTTTATTTCCTAATAATAATGTTTTTTATTTATAGAATTGTATTTATATTTTTGGATATGTAGCACATGTATATGACTCAAAAATAAAAAAATTGATTTGGATATGTGGTGAAGTTTCCCTTTTTACCCCTGTCCTTAGCTATCCAGCTTTAAGGCTCTATTATAAAATAACTTATTCTTAAATGTGTATTTCTCTAAAAACACAATGTTTTTAAAAGTAGTCTGATGTTTTTCTTTTAACAGATGGAGAACATTAATTTTGCCGTGAAGACAATTTTATCGTAAATTCTTCCCAGGTTATACGTATTTTTTTTTTTTAACCTACCCAAGATCTTAACTACCTTGTCCTAATTATCTCTGAGTACTTTTCTATCTCAAGTATTATCTTCTTCCCTTAACCAGTACTCTACCTCACAAATATAATCCTAGGGTCAGGAATGAAAACACCAACTAATTTTTCAGATACTGTGCCTTTAAGACGTTTTCCATGACAATGAATTTTGTAAGTCTTAATTGAGATGCTCAAAGGAGAGATCCAAATGTTTATATCACTGAGCTTCAGAACTGCATCTCTGCTGGTACAGCAATTCCTACTGTTTCACACACTTGGTAATCTCACAGTAGTATCCATGTGGGAAATCACAAGATTCCAGATGAAAAGAGAAAACTCCACAGTGCATGATTGCTTTGATTTTCATTCAGAAGCCAAAGACCCAAGTTGCCAATGAAGAGTTTGCTTTTGACTATGTTCATGTGGAGTTGGTATGATTCCAGAGCATTAGCCACCCAAATACTGTTTAGAAGCATTTAAGGTAATGGATGAACATAGTTCTAAAATTCAGAGGATCCGGAATTTCCATTTGAACAAATAGGAAAAAAGTTAA